AATCATAATAATATATATTATAATGTTTTTTGGGCCTATATTTCATAATCTCTTCTATTTTTCTATTTTTAGCTTAATTTTAATAAAAAAAGACTCCATCTCATTAGTTTTATATTATGCTAAAAAATTGCATATATTTGTTCTAATTCAAATTGGCAATAAGCAAAGCTTAATTATAAAATAAGGGTTATAATTCAAAGAAATGTGCATCTATTAACTAACATTTTTTCATAAAGTTGTTTAATCAAATAATTGTATTAATGTTAGCTTTGTGGGAAGAGTCAGAATTTCTATCATCTTGCTCTTCGTTGTTTAAAATAATTGGTTATTTTATATAAATTAGATTAGATAATGCCATACTTGGTTCACAAAATTGTTTAACAAAATAATTGTATTCATGTGGCTCTGTGTTTGAAGTTTCACTGGGGATTTTTCCATCAACATCAATGATGAAATTACAAACTCGCCTGCAAGCACAATTTTGACTCCGATTGAAGTGAGTTCGTACGATTTGCCAAAGGATTCACCCAAGTTTGATGAGAACAGAGTCTGCAAGCAAGTACAAAATTTCTTGAGGTAAGAGCATGAACTCATTGAGTCAACTGAGTTGACTCACGATTTTGACAACAGTGACTGTAATGATATCTCTTAGTAGCAATAGAGAAAAATATTGACATGTTAATAAAACCATGTATATATTGTGAAAAAAAATGTGCATTTTATTCACAATTTATGCTCCCAACTTTACTGTCTTTGTTTTGGATATAATATTCAGTGATGTGCTTTGTTTTGTATTTCTTTTATAGTGAAAGTGGATATAAATATATGCAATAAAACAAGCTATTCTTGACCAAGAGACGACGCACAAAAGAAGCGTCTTCAACAACTTTGCCAGGTATAAATGTTATTGCCCTAAATTTTTTTGTATAAGGTGGTTAAACCATGTTATAGTGTCAGTTTAGAATTAAATATTAATAATAGTTTACTTAATGTGTCTAAATAACTTTAAGTTAAATATAATTCACAATTACTTTTCCATTTATTGTAGGAGAAAAATGTTCTCTCAACTTTCACATCCCAATACTGTTAAACACTGTTAGGGTGAATTGATATGCCAAAATTGGCAGTCATTGATAACAAATTTATGAAAGAAAAGTCCAATTTGAGTTCCATGGCACAGAGTCTGAAACCCCATTATGAAGAGAAGAAAGGAAATGTTTTTACTATTAGCTAAAGGGGCATTGAGCCCAGCAAGAGCAAAATGTCGACGATATTGAAGCACATGGCAAGAAAGCAAAGAAGCAAGTCCGAGTTTTTTAAGTTCATGTTACAACATAGAAATATGATGGGCCTACAATTTTTCTAAGATTGTACTTACAAAGAGATCCCACAATTCGTCCACTAGCTTATCAATTACTTGACTACCATTTTGTTAGGATATTAATTATTTACTTGATTGCTTGATGATCCCAAAATGTCAATATATAATCGATAACATAAGGATGTTTGTAACATTTTTTTTGTGATTAATAATATATAAGCCAGCTAAGGGTGTCAAGTTATTAATTATTTTAGGAGGTGAGATGCTATAATGCATGAAACAATTTTATGATTAATGTAAATGGATTATATTTATCGCATCAATATATTTATAAAAGTGGTAGAAATATATTTATTTACAAGTTATAAGTGTTTCCATCCTAGTTTATCATAAAAGTTAGGGGCTTTAGCAAATTTAGCCAACATTATATGGCTAAATAAAACTAATAACCTACCCTTTTCTAAATTAAAATAATGGCCATTTCCTAATTTACTTTTGATCCAAAAGAAAAAACTACCCTTAAAACATTACAATATCCTGATTTTCTTTTTTCACACTGGCTTCACTTTCACCCATCCGAAGATGTGGAGACAACACTACACTCTTGATCACGATGGTGAAGAAACTGATAATAGACAATAGAATAGCTCACACCGATGGATAAATGGAACTAGAGATTTAGCCAAGAGACCACACGAACATAAGGTGAGGCAAATTGGAAGCCATAGATTCAGGTTGAAAAATCACGAATGCTGAGGTGAGGAAGTCCGAAATTGCAGCTTTTACACAAAGTCACACTAAAGTTGCAGATTCAAGGTGAGGAAGTCTAGTTAGACTCTGTTACAAAAGCCAGAGTTCATGCAAGGGTTTTTTCAAATTTTGTTTGATCTGTTTTGGATAAATAATTATGCGTTTTCTATGTTATTGATTTGAGATACTATATTATTGATATACGACTGTATATCAATTATAAATAAGTTTATATTTAATTATCTGATTATGTTGATTTACAATAGTATATCAATGATATACTATTATATATCACTAATATATAAACTATATCAGTTATATATCAATGATATAGTAACAAAGATCAATAACGGAGTTTCCTTTTTAATATCTAATATCCGCTTCGTAATATTTGGAAAAAGCAAAAAGGGAGAGAGAGGAAAAGTTCTACGATGAAAATGATGATTCAAAAAAAAATTAGATAAAAAATTTTGATAAAGAAAAGCATTGTATGAGAGATGAATATGATGATTCAGGAAAATCAGATCCAAAAATTTGATGGAGAAAATATTCAAAGATGATAAATTAGAGAGGGAGCACGAGCAAAATGATTTTTGATGATAAAAATAAAAAATTCAATTAGTTAAAGATTATTTAAATCAAGTATATTCTATTTTAATAATAAATTTATTCTAAGGATAAAAAAAAGAAAAACATCTAATTGATTCTATGAATGAGCCATATTCTAAAATATTTAAAAACATTATCTATAATTTATGAGTTGTATTTTTTGAGGCGATTGAGCTAATTTTCTCTAAAAGTTATTGTTAATATTTTTTTAATATTATTCAAATTTTCAAATTACGAGTCTTGTAGAAATGTGGTGTTTTAAGCGCGCATAACTATGTAAACATGAATGATTATTTAAAATGCCTACGTGCATCTAAGAAAATAAACTTATTTGTTGAGTTTATCCATCCAATAATTAGCCTTATAGTGATAATATTTGATATTTTGGGATATTGGAACTTTTAATTAAGTTTATCTCAATTATCAATTTGATCTCTTAAGTTTAATTTTTATTAATTTAATTTCTTATATTTTTTTAAATTATCACATTAATCCTTTAAGTTTTAAAAAATAAATTTAATATTAATATTAAATTAATCAAATGTGTAAAGATTTTAATGACTTCACATGTATATTTAGTAAAATGAAAACAAATTAGCTCTCAAATCAGTTTAATTATTCTACTTCTTTACACTGTATTTTGTTCTTTTATTTTTTAAAATTTTTAAGTATATTTTTTCTCTACCTAAATTTCTTTTTTTTTTTTCAATTAATATACATGATTGCCAATATTCTGTTATATATGTTAACCATTTTTAACATTGTTACTTCTTATTTAAACAATAAGATCCAAATCGATCACCTGTACAATTTAAGGGATTATATCAATAAAAATTAAATTTAAGGGACCAAATTGATAACTAAAACACTTGAGGAACTACCAATTTTTCAAGAAATTTTTTTTATGACTTTTTTACAAGCAAAGTTGTGAATTCAAATATTGTGAATGAAAAAAAAATTGAAAGATCTATTTTCATTTATTTAAGTTAAATTGACAATAAAATAGCTACAGATAATCATACAATAAGAAATATTGTACCCTTATTACATCACAATTATAACATATATATATATATATATATTTTAAATTTTAATTGAATGTTTTCATAACAAAATATTACATCTAAATCTACTCGTTAAAAATATTCTTTATCATATTATAGAACACTAGAGCATGAAGGGCAATATCTAATAGAATTTTAAGCCAATCGATCATATAGAAATAGAAGGAAAGATAAAGCCTTCTTAATTACTCCCTCCATTTTTTAAATATAAGAAAAGCTTTCATATAATTTCTTGTATTTTTATAATAAAAATAAAAATTTTCAAGAAACATTTTTGATCCTTAATCCTCTTCATTAAAATAATATAAAATTAAGAAAAAAGAAGAAGATTAATGGTAAGGACATTTTAGTTCAAACATTTCAATTTCATACATGATTATTAGAATTAATTTTCTTAAACAATGTGACTTGGTTAAAATCAAACAAGGGAAAACATAATTTTGGATTTTTGCTTTTTTTTTTGATATTTTAGGTTCTACACTTTTATTTTTTGGTGTTTTAGATTCCTTCATGTGTGTTATAAAGACTTAAAATATAAAAAAAATAAAAATATAAGGACCTAGAATATCGAAAAAAATACAAGAATTTATAACAAAACATGAATAAAGTATAGAAATTCAAAGTTATTTTTCCCAAACACAATTAGAGTATGAAATAAATAGATTATTAGGATTAATTTTCTTAAACAAGGAGAGCATTTAATCATATATTCATAAAAGCTCTGTTTGTGTTTGGACCAATCTAGAAAGTCAAAAACAAACACACTTATAATGATGTTGGAAGGTAATTGGCAATTTATTCTCCCTTATTAGACCTACATTTAAAATATAAAATATGTCTTGTATAATAAACCAAAATAAAATAACTAAAAAAATAAAATAATCAAAACAAATACAATTTAATATTATAATAGAAATATAATTTTAATACATTCACAAGACTTGTTTTCTTATTTGAGACTCATAAAATTTTCCATTAGATAATTTACATGGAAAATATCATCACACAAGAATTAACACATGCTGAGTACTTTTATTTTATATTTTAACATCAATTTTGCATTGAACACAACCAAATTGAAAGGCAAAATTCTCGAGCCAGTGAGACTCTTTTGCTTAAACATGTTATGGGGGGTGATTGCGAGTTGCGAGCCCCTTTTAACATGCAAATTTCAGGCTTTAGCCAACTATTTTTAATTTTATTTTTATAACCGAAACCAAAATCTGGTACCACTAGACCCAGGGTCCTTGGGTAAGCTTTTGCCCACTTTGTTTCATTAAAAATAAAAAGAAGCAAAATCCACATTAATAGCAATATTTATTTACACCAAGCCCCACTACTTATAAAACAAGGATAAAAACTCACCTCCAGCCCTATAACAATGCATGTTTAGAGAAACTAATTGATAACCAAAAGCATTAAAGGCACGAATTATGTGAAAAAACTTTGAACAATTTCTTTCTTTCTTTCTCTCTTTTTTGAGTTACAAGGGCTACGATTAAACCGTGGAGAGAATTCAAAATTAGGTCCGATCAGATAACCAAAAACCTCTACATCCAGTAGGTGGGTCGTTAAGAATTCTAGTGTCCCAGCTATTGTGATCGGCCTGATGAGTAAGCCGGTCAGCACAGCAATTGATTCATCTGAGAACATGATCTATGTACCTATAAACAAGGCACAAAAGTAAATGCTCAAAAATATTCAAATTCATCTCCCAACTTAGGATCTATTTTGCATATGGTCATGGACTCATGGTTATAAAATTAAGAGAAAATATTCATCAAACATGAAATTGATATCCATTCCTAATTTTTGTTTAAACAAGATTAACAAGTTCAGATTCAGCCTACAAAATCACAGGCCAGCCAAAAAATGCTTTCAACAACGGACAACAAAAAAACAATTATCCAAGCTTGCCAAGAACCACATCATTGAACCCTGCAATTAGAGAGGAAATATATAAGGACTTGTAGCAAGCAAGAGTAATGGTTGCATCAACACTGCTGACTACTAAAAACTACCAAGGAGCAACAGAAATACTTTATAATGAATCTAATGATGATTTTTTTTTTAAATAATAATACCACTCCGATTATTAAGGAGTCTGGGATTTTTTTTTTTCCTTTCTATTTTCATATTTTTGGAGGGATGCAGATAACATAAAAATTTAACCTTGAATGAAACGGGTAATTAACCAGCATTGTTGTTGCCTACTTTAGACGTCATAACAAACGTTTCAAATATTACTAAAATAATAGTACAGTTGAATTAGAGAACATATGATCTTATTGTGCAGAGGATCAATGATATTTATAGAATTTGTTTGATAAAAAATATAGTTTTCAAGTTTCCCACTTGTGAGTGCACAGGCGTGAATGGGGAATTACAGAACAGGAGGCCACAAGTGCACTCTACACAGTAGAGGATCTGTGCTTGGTGAGTTGCGTGAAAAGATTCAGCAATACAACAACAATAATAATAACAACGACGACCACTTTTATTCTACCAAGTCACATTAGCTACTACCTCTTTTTATGTAGAAAAGATTTAGCCATAAAACAGACAAAAATCACACACTACAAATGATATGACAAAACACTGCAAATGTGTATTGCATATTAAAGTCAATAATAGACTTAAATTCATATAACGAGAACTTCAATCTCAATTGGCCGTACATGCAATTTTGCAAGCAAGCGCGCATGTATATGTAAGATGTTAACCTGCCAATCTATATCCTTCAGTGGTATGAAATTCAATGGACAAGACGTCCATGAATCAACAGAAAAGCCCATCTATAACTAGAAACCAAGCCATTTAAAATGTTACTGTTGAACAGGTAAAAGAACATGCAAACAAGAAATAATTTTACTTAAATTATAGCTTCATATGAAATCTGCATGTGCTATCTTTCACATATGTGAAATGGACACATGCACAACTGAAAATTGAATATGATCCTACTGATTGCAAATAAGAAAGCTAAAGCATGTGAAGAAAAAAAAACTCCAATTGCAACATCAACAACCCTTATCCTACTAAGTGAAATAAATTGCCATCAGACCCTAACAGCAACCAACTATTCAAAAAAATGCCAGCAGGTAAAAGAGACAAAAAACAAAAAAAGAAAAGAAAAAAGAAAAAAAAAAGCTATTGCCCAGCCCCAGTAATTCAAAGAAAGCATACAGTATTCCCTCCTCATTGAAATAGCAGTTTGATACAAAAGAAATATCAAATTCTGGTGACAAATGTTGATATTTAGTTTCTAGCTATCCGAATATCAGATATAATTTACCTAATAAAATAAATCACAAGAATAACAACCTATCATCTGAGGACTTCAAGATATATTCATTCATTTTTTATATTCAGTAAAGAAATATAATCCAACCTGGGCCCAAAAAAAAAAAAAAGAAATATAATCTAACATGCTTTAGAGTTCAAACTTCAAACAAAACAAAGACAACTTGGGTCTTTAAGCCACCTTAAAAATACATTTTTGCTAAGACAACTTGAGTCTTTAAGCTACCTCATGAAGCTAATGCTCTTTTGCGTCATCCTTAAATATAAGTTAATACACTACTGCTAGTATTTACACATGTCACATATTCCATGCATTTCCATCTTCCATCAATATAAGGCAATGATGGTATTAAGAATATTTTTTATCATGCCTTTACTTAAGAACAAGCAAAGTGTAAATCGATACTTGAAAGAATAGGCATTCAGATGTTACTAGTTATCTAATATACTCAGGGTCGTTTAGTCTATCTTTTGGAAAGAAAATTCCAGTAAAAGCTATGGAAGGGTCTGCTGTACGCTGGCTCTATCAACAAAACCAGATATCCGTGTCCATTAATGTAGGGGGCTCATTAATTAATACTTTAATATTTAAATTTAATTGGAAGGCTCAGAAATTCATCACAATATCTCAAATCGTTCATCCAGTATCTGTAACCAATCCTATCCTAGAGTACATTAATACCAGTTCATGCATGTTATAACCAGAAAATCGAAAATCAAGATGAAACGTAATAAATAACTAAGAAATCAAGGCCACAAAAGAGATAGGAAAAATTTGTGAATCAAGTAGAAATAGACAACCATGTACCAAATATAAAAGTCAAGCCAAAAATGAACCAATAACTAGGAAGCTTACCAGCATCATCGTGAAGGGTTAAGAGCCATGAGCAAGTTCTTCCCACCAGGAAGGTAGGCTACATTAGGCGACTTAGCCAAAGTGGAAGCCACCTCTCTGGATGCCTCAATCCTCCTAAGCTCAATCAGCCCCGTACCCGCAGCTGCCGTTGCATCTGAAATTAGCTTCGCAGATTCACTCTCTCCCTCAGCTCTAATAATGGCCGCTCTCCTTTCCTGCTCCGCCTTCATCACCACGAACTTGGACCTCTCTGCCTCTTGTTGAGCCACCTGCTTCTGCTCCACAGCCCTTGAAAATTCAGCACCATATGACAAATGCGTAATAGCGACCTGTGTAAATATCACACATTAACATGTGAATTGCATTCTTCGACTATATCAACCCAAACAGAATTTGGATAAAAATTAAATCATCATACATCATCAAGAACTATGTTGAAGTCCTTAGCTCGCCGGATCAAGCTCTCTCGAACGAGAGCTGAAACGTGAGGACGCTCCGTCAAAAGCTGATCCGCATTAAATTGAGCAACGACTGCTTTCAAGACTTCATTTCCAATTGAAGGAAGAACCTTCTCGTCGTACTCAAGACCAAGATTCTGGATAATCACTGGGAGGCGAGAGGTGTCGGGACGAGAGAGGACACGGAGGGTGAGGTTGACCATCTGCAGGTCCTTGGTTCCAGAGATGGAAGAGAAGGTGTGAGGGCGAGTGCGAATGTCGAAAATGTAAGGCTTCTGGACCCAAGGAATGAGGAAATGTGTTCCCTCGCCAACGGTTTCATCAAGAATTCCCCGGAAACGGTCAAAGAGTACGGCACGTTGGCCACCATCGACGGTGAAGAGGCTGGAGTTAAGGACGGTTGCGGCTGCGCCAAGACCGAAGGCGGCGCGTGCAATGTTCGTGAGGAATGAAACAGCGGCTTGGCTACCCATTCGAAGGAGATAGCTCTGATAGTGATGTTTGAAGAAGAAGAAGAAGAAGGTGTAGAAAAGGAAGAGAGAGGGTCTTCGCAAGTGTAAGAGGGTTTTACTTCGCCTTCGATTCGCAGCGAAATCCCAGTCCGGCTTGGAAGAGAGGGCAACATGTTTTTTTTTTTTGGGTCGGATGCTAAACCTTGCGTGGGCCTAAATGTCTGAATGCGTATATCTTATTGGGCCTTTGATTCTAGTTTGGATCCATTGCTTAGCTATTAGGGTGTGTTTCGTTGGGGACTCTCCTCCCTTCCCCTCCCCTCCTTTGATTAGAAGGAAGGGAGGAAAAATTTTTAAAATTTTCCTTTCCTTCCCCTCTAAAGCCTTCCCTCCAAATTGGGGGGAAACTCTCCTCTCCTTGAACCAAACATGTCCTTAAAAAATGCATTCTAGTTTTTACCAACTATGACTAGAGATGGGAATCAAGATGGACTGAGTCCTTATAGACCCCACCCTTAAGGGCTCAAGTTTTAAAGTCTGGTTATTCAAAATTAAATTTAATTTTAAAGCCTGGCTCTTATTTACAAGGCTCAGGGCTTGGCCTTTAAGCCCTCTTTCTCAAAAAAGTTTAACATTTTAATTTAAATAAAATATTTTAAAATTTAACCTAAAATAAATTAAAATCTCACATAAAATTTAAAATTTAAGATAAAAATTTTTAATTTTCATCAATGTAAATATAAATCCTCTTCGTCATCATTTTAAAAATAAAATATTATATTCCTTAATGTAGGTCCACTTGTTAAAGATAAAGGTGAAGATTTAATGTTAATTATCTCTGTAATTTTTTTTTCATTACCTGCAATAAATATTAATCAAATTATGTTATTGTCAATCAAACATATGTACGTGTGTGCATCCATATATATAAAATAACTTGGCTTATAGGGCTTGAAGGACCATCCGAGCTTGAGCTTCTTTTTACAGGACTTATCAGAACTAGGCCCTCAAGCCTGGTTAGTTTAAGAAAAATTTAATTTCTAAAGCCCAAACCCTTATTTCAATAGGGCCTCTAAGTTTAGCCTTTAAGCCCAACCCTTATACTCTAACTAGGGTTGGTTTCTATGGGAGATTTGTATGTGAAGCAAAAAATAAGGGCTAATCTTGATAAGATGCCTACTCCCTTTATTTAAAAATATAAGGCATTTTTAATCAAATCTCACCTCCAATAAAGTAGTTACTTACTTCAAACTAACTCTATCTTTTTCATATTTACTTATATTAAAATGTAAAATCATTATCAATAGGGATACTTTTGAAAAAAAGACAATGATTAAATTTAATTTCTAAAACCCAAACCCTGATTTCAATAAGACCTCTAAGTTTAGCCCTTTAAGCCTAACCCTTATACTCTACTAGGGCTGGTTTCTATGAGAGATTTATATGTGAAGCAAAAAATAAGGGCTAATCTTGATAAGATGCCTACTCCTTTTATTTAAAAATATAAAGTATTTTTAACTAAATCTCACCTCCAATAAAGTAGTTACTTACTTTCAAACTAATCCTATCTTTTTCATATTTACCTGTATTAAAATGTAAAGTCATTATTAATAGGGATACTTTTAAAAAAAGACAATGATTAAATCTCGAAAGACTAAAAATATTTTACATTTTTGAACATCCAACTCCTCAAAAAATGCCTTATATTTTTAAATGGAGGGAGTATTTAAATTCATTTTTATAAGAACTTAGATTTAAAAAAATAACATTTTTTAGGAAAATTGAGCTTTGAAACCCAGCCTTGATATGCCTTGAAAAAAAGACTCAGGCCTGGATGACCCGTTTAAGTTTGCTTTTATTTTACCCCTAAAATATAAAATATTTTTAATCTTTAAATTAACTTTAAAATTTAGAATATATGTTTATCCTTTAAAATTAAAAATTTTATTATTTATTTTTAAATTTTTGAACATTATAATTTATGTTATAAAAAATATAAAATATTATAATTCAAAACTTTTAACTTTTCAAAAATTTTAAAAAATAAAAAAAATTAATAAAACTGATTTATGGGGCTGACTTTAAGCCATGTAAATAAGAGTTGAATTTTTAAAAATAATTAATTTTGGAGTAATTGAATTTTATGAGCTTGAGCCCATATAAGGGAAGCCCATCAGAGCCAAGCCCATACGATATTGGGACATTTTCCTGCAGAGGAGCAATCCTTTACAAGAAGCAAGGATTCTTGAGTTCGTTTAAAATGAGCACGTGAAAGCCACTTGTGAAGAAACCAGACAAAAACACACACACATTCATTTCGTCAAGTTCTCTCCCCAAGCTCTCTGGTCTCTGCTGTTTCTAACTCAAATCGTAAAGTAGATGAAGTTTAAAAAAACATATTATTAAAAGCATTAAAAAGTATAATATTCGTTTACAAAGTAATCAAATAATCAAACTTCAAACTAGAAATCATGATATTAATTATTTCTTCTATCAAAAAGAGAAACAGTTGCTCCAATTCCACAGGATTGAAGAGTAGGTGAAAAAAGAAATTAACTCCAATTTGAAACGGTCTAGACCAAATCCATGCACGCTAATGTATTCAAGCTTTCTCTTTCTTTCACCAACTATATCATACTCACACAATACATTATTCAGCCTACATGGTAGCAAACATCAAATAATTCCCATTTGTGATTGTAAATCCAACAGAAATAGAACCCAACCCCAATAATTCTTCCAAATTGATTGCCTTGACCAAGAGCTTGATTCATGATCTACCAATACCCATATGGTAAAAATAAAATTCTTGAATAATGTATAACAAAGCATATTGACCCATCATTTGAACTTCCAGCTTTATTTCCCCACTTGAACATCTCCGTTTCAAAGTAGGCATGTTCATTATTATTCTTAAGGACTTCTTTTGGAAGTCTAAGAAACCTTGAAGTGCTACTCTAAAGGTTGAATGTTTCCATGCTTGGAGCAAAATTATGAATATTATTTTTAGAAATAGAGAAATGTGAACCTTCTAAGATTAAGTGAATATATCCCTTATGAAGTATAGGAGAGTGGGAATGGTTTCCCTGCTCATCATGTGCTCATCCCTTAGGATGAGATCTAGACAACCTACATCTCATCTCTGATCTTAGAGATGAGTAGGGAAACAGTTCTCATAAGAGAGTCACACATATCTTGTTCCAATGTTTTCCTTTGAATAATCCTCCACCTCTTGATTTCCAAACACCTTCTTTTGGCATGTAATGCACTTATAACTTAACAAGGTATACTCAACAAGAGTTATCTTGTATTGCTCTGAATCATCATCACATTCTAATACGAATTTCACCTGATGAGAGCCAGCAGGATTTTCTATCAAGTTTTGATTGGGAAGGGAATGCCCAAGCATGATTTTGTAATAGGATTGCAAATAAATAGTTGTCTTTCTGTTTATAGGTTTTGGCAGAGAAGGAATCCACTACTAGAGGTGAGGATTTTCGACTATGTTTGACAAAGAAACCGAAGAACATTTTCTGGAACCCCAGAATATTTCACCTCTCTTGGTAATGCATGTGGTTCGGTTTTGAATGATCGAAAACAGAAAGGATGTGGCTGAATAAAGAAGCAGAAATCATTCATAGTCATGTAATGCTGAGATTGCTTCAAGGCAAAGTATGTTTCTTGCGTCAACTGAGAGATGGACTTGGAATAAGACTTGAATTTGCATATTGATTTTGGTGGGAGCCAAGAAAGCATTGAATTTGCATATTGATTTTGGTGGGAGCCAAGAAAGCATTTCATACATCCTATCTTCTGTTAATTTCATTCTAATGCAAACAAAACAGTATCATATTAGAGATAAATATATAATCACGCAGATTATACGCACCGTAAAATCTATGAACAAAACGTTATCATTTTCAGACAGTCATTTTCCATTCCTAATACAAAATTATGGACAACAGTATTGTAGGTTTTGTTATAAAAAAACTCAAATGCATTCATAGGGAGATTATTTGTTTAATTTATATATATAAACACACATGATCAAATTAATTAAATAACATTCTTTATTTATGAATATCTAAAACTTCTACTTATTTCTGAGGACATAATTAAATATGCCATGTACAGAAATTAACTGTATAAGGAAGCCATTATTGTGCAGAATTTTGTGTTAATAGTGATGGAGGAGAATTAAAGATTATATACTAAATAAATATGAAACACGAACATGGACAAAACACATGACTTACTTGAGAGTATAAAATTCGCATTTCTTCACAATCCTGAAAATTCACCCGAAATCAACAACAGAGGATGGTTTTATATTATTATTTTTTATGTGGAGACGATAATTCTAAAAGAAGTCAGCAATAGCTAATGCTGATTTGGATCTTTTTAATTGTAGCCCTTATTGTAACCCTAAAAAATTGTAGCGCTAAATGATTTAGTTAATATTATTATTAAGGATAAGATTAGGCCAAACTTTATATTTTATATTTCAATTTCAAATTATGTTTCAAAACAAATAAAAGTAACTGATTTCTAATAAAAATAATAGTTTTCTTTAATTTTAAATGTTAGCAATAGTTGGCAAAATATAGTGTTAGGTTAAATCTATATTTTTTCTTCAAAAAGTCTATAATTTTTTCTTTATTTCATGTTTTTAATATATCCAATACTAATATTGTGGAAGAGAATCCAACGATTGAAAATTCTGGATGAATATTCATTAATTAAATTTCTTCTTGTCATATGTAAATTTTTAAAATTTTTTAATGATGTTGATCTTTTCCTATCTTATGCATTATGAATCCCACAGGCCATAGCCAATACGAGAATCTTAAAATGTAAACATGGACCTTGATTAGGACTTGATCCAAGAAGTGACTAACTTGCAAATTAATATTCTCAAAACTTGGAACATCATCATCATCATCAAACTCAGGACTCTTTAACCTCTTAGACTATCTAAAACTCAACTTGATCAACAGATTCATAATCAACCGGATCAATAACTCTCTGCTTTTTTGACCTGTAGGTAATAATGAACAAAAAAAATTGTCAAAATAATATGAAGGATATTATAAATAAATAATAATCCTGGAGAAGAAGTTTGGAGGGATAGAAGGAGTTTTATTAATTTTTCAGTTGGAGAAAGTTATGATAATGGTTGAGATACCTGAGAGAGAAAATTTAGAGATATATTAAAACAAAAGAGTTAAGATAATAATGAGAGAGAAAAACAAGAGATAAGAGGAAGTTATCTTGAAAGTATTAGAGATATCATTATTATATTAATAAAATAAAATATACTTTTTTATTATCAACTATAAATTATTATTATAAACAATATATTATCAATTATCATATTAGGTAAGACTTACATATTTATTCTTATATACTTATTATACTTTTATCAAATTAAATTAAAAAATGAATTTTAATTTGTTTCTAGTATTAATAATAATAATTTATTAACGAATAAATAATTTATAAATGATGTATATGTTTTGATTTAATTAAAAACAAGTACCTTAAATATATAAGACTATGTGCATACATTTTTTCTTATCATATTATAAATTGTTTTTATTTTAAAAAATAAAATAAAGTTTTCTATTTTAAAATTATCATATTATATTGTTATCCATTGGCGCAGTCGGTTGGGTTGAAATTATGGGATTGAGTCAAATGGATATTGAAGGTACATGTATTTCATATATAATAATTTATAAGTATTGTTGCCAACAATAGTTATCCGAGAACCACTCGCTGCCTAACAACTGCCTGAATTTATTGAAAGAAGAATATTAAACACAAAATAATAAACCTTCACTAGAAAGTAGAAAGTAAACACTATTACTAAAAATATAATTCTTTTACAAAGAAATCAAATAATCAAACTTCAGAAATCATGATATTGTTTCTTATCTCAAAGAGAAAGAGTTGTTGCACCAAGGCCACATGATTGAAGGGTAGGTGAAAAAGAAATGAAGTCCCATTTAACAATTTCAGATCCAAGCATGCTAATATGTTCGAGTTCAAGCTTCGTCTTCTTTCTTTCACCAACTAAATCATACTTATACACATTCGATATAGTAGCAAATATCAAAGAAGTGCCATTCATAATTGTAAATCCAGTAACAACAGAACGCAACCCCAATAATTCTTCCAAATTTATTGTTAAATACCTTGACCAAGAACTCGATTCATAATCTACACCCATATGCTAAAAATTAAATCCTCGAATAATGTCACAAAACAAATTGACTCATCATAAACTTTGCCCCACTTGAAAATCCCAAGTTCCAAATAAATGTATGGACCAGGATACTCAAAGGCTTCTAATGGAAGTCCAAGGAATCTTGATGAGCCACTCGCAAGGTGGTGTATTGTCATACTTTCTGGAGTATAATATTCACTATTTATCATTAAGTGAATGGCTCCCTTCTGGATTAAAGGAGGGTCACATATGTTGTGGTATCCACAAAACGTTCTATCAAAGAAGCCTCCTCCTCTTGATTTCCAAACACCTTCTTTTGGCATAAAAGTTTTGCACTTATAACTTGAATCGGTATACTCAACAAGAATGATCTTGTATTCCTCTTCATCATCATCACATTCTAATAAGAATTTCACCTCATCAGAACCAGTATCTTCTATCAAGTTGGTTGGGAAGGGAATGTCCAAGCATGATTTTGTAATAGGATTACAGACATATAGTTGTTTTTCTTTTGTTGTTAGTCTTTGACAGAGAAGCAAACCATTACTAGAGGCTAGAATTTTCAAACACGTTTGAGAAAGAAACCGAAGGAAATCTTTCGGAGCGCCAGAAAGTTTCTCCTCTCCAGGCAATGCATATGGTTCAGTTTTGAATGATTCCAAAAAATAATGCTCATATGGCTGAATAAAGAGGCAAGAATCATTCATAGTCATGGAATGTTGAGATTGCTTCAAGGCAAAGTATGTTTCTTGTGTCAACTTATAGATGGACTTGGAACAAGACTTGAATCTGCATATTGATTTTGCTGGGAGCCAGGAAAATATTTCATAGATCATATCTTCTGATAATTTCATTCTTTGAGCTGTAAGCAATAATGCAAACAGAGTATTATGCTATTAGAGATAAATATATAATCACATAAATTATCCTACTAATTCCATTTGCATAGAACAAAATGTTAATTATTGGGAAGTGCATAAAAGATAAGTTGAAGGAAAAGAAAAAGATTAAACAATTAGAAATTATAGAAGAGCAAGAGAAAATGGTAAATGATGGCACATGAAATTTAACATGAAAAAACCTCTAGTGACCAAAATTTTACTGGCAATGAAGAAGAAATTTTACTATATGAAATCTACAAACAAAGAAACCCGATAAACGATTGCTCCGTATTCCGAATTAATACAAAATTGTTGAATAGCAGTATCGCAAGTTTGTTTTATAAAACTCAAATGCATTCATAGGGAGATTACACACACACACACACACACACGAACGATCAAACCAACTAAATTAAATAACATTCCTTCATTCTTTGTGATCATACACTAAATAAAGATGAAACTGGAACATGAACAAAATACACAACTTACTTGAGAGTATAGAATACGCCTTTCTTCTAAATCCTGAAAAAGTAATTAACCCCGAAATCAACAAACGAGGAATGGTTTTATAATTTTATTTTATTTTCTGAGAAGACGAGAGTTCTAAAAGAAGTCGGCGCTAATGCTGATGCGAATCTTTCTAATGAGAAAGAGTCACATAAATTTGTAGCCCTACTTGTAACCCAAAAATAGAAAGAATGACAAGAAAGAATCTTGTGAGAGCGTTGTTGTCAAATTAAGACTTTTAGTACTAAAATATGAGAAAAGTAATACTGAAATTTAAAAACATCAGCATTAAAAAATTCTAATTTGATATTAATGTTCTTATGGGGTCTTACTTATCATTCTCCCAAATAAATAAATTGATAAGGGAAGAGAGAATGTCATAAAATACGGAAGATGAAGATATTATAAAATGTTTAAATAATGATATAATAAATTATTTTTATAAATACATATCATATAATCTAAAAATAACTAAATAATAATAATTTATTATTATTGTAACTAAACATAAAATAATATTGGCATTATGTAAAATATTTACAAAACAATTTTTTTATGAAATCTCTAAACTAAGAGTAACTTATTTTTTTTTTATCCGAAACTAATGGGCTCTTCATTTCATGTAAGGAGTCTCATTTTTCATTTCAATTCTATTCATCTATATATGAATATTAAAGGGTTTACTTGTTTTCTCAAAAAATATATATTAATTGAAATTCTACCCATTATTAATTAATGAAGAATAAATTCAAATTTTAAAGCATACATCAGATAATAATAAAATTTAATGTGTAGCATATATCGAATATTGAAGCCGCATACACTATTTTCCATTTCTACTGGCATTCCCCAAAACTCTGCTAAAGGATATGATAAACAAATAATAATCTGAAAGAAGAGTTAAATTAGAGTCTTACCGGATCTAGGTATTTGCAAGGTCTACTTGATGCTCTGCTTGACTGTCTACTCACTATTCATGCTGTACTTGACTATCTATGGTGAGATAGAAATACTAGAGTCCTTATTTTTAGTACACAACAGAAACAGATGGAGAGAAGAACAAATAGTGAAAAGAGATCAAACATTCGTATTGGGATAAGTTTTTTCTTCAACCACTCACTACTATATATTGATAGCGTGTGAGACTACCACAAAACAGGAAATATCAATCTTCCTAATTCACGCCTCATAATAGAGGGGATGATTGTGATGAAATATTCTATGTTAAATGCAGAGGTAAACTTCTTGATTTGGATTTAATTAGAAATTAATTCTCAATCAATTCTCTAATTTTGGTCAAACCTCATTAAACCAATGTATATCAAATATCTGCTCGTTAATTTTACATAATGACCCGAATTCCATTAAGGACAGATTAGTAATTCCAACACCCACTAATCACCAATGACCAAGCACACAAAAAATAAAACAATCAACAAGTACTCGATTCATTTTATCATAGAAACCACATCCAACTACATCCATGTCCGAAAAAGAAGCCATTTGAAATTCATCATATAATATTTCTCTACAAGAGAGAATGAAGCTCATTGGACAAGAGACCGATGGTAAAGAGTTCTAGTTCTCCACATTTCACCATCTTCTTCGCAGCATTCTCTTCCATTCTTCACTTGGCTGCAGAAACAAATAATAATAGTGGTAGTAATAATAAGGATAATATACCTTTGGAGTTGCAATGATGTTGGTTGTTGCAGATCATAAAATGGATTTCTATGATTTGTCATTATTGTTGTTTTATTCTTGACTTGTCCTTCCCGTCCTGTTTTAATGAAGATCGTAGGATTTAATTCTCAAATGAGATCTTTGAACTCATCTTTTCTTAATATGGAGGGTGGTTAACTCATTAAATCTGTTTTAAAATTAAAAAAAATCTAACTTTGCTTCTATTGAAGAGAGAGAAAGAAAAAGCCATATGAAACATGGAATTGTAATTAAATTCTCCTTTTAGTAATTTGCTAGGGGTAAAATTGAAAAATATTAATTAATTAATAACCTTCTGTTTGATTTATATTAAGAATCAAGAAATTTTTCTAGAAGACACCTTATAACAAGGATTGGAGGGAACCCAATTCCTATTATAAGTCACTTAAACTAATTCACAGGAACAGAAAAATTAATTATATCGTTAAAATTGCCTGAAAATTGCTTTGATTTTTATAAATACCATAAATTAAAAAAAACATGCTCCTATCATCTTATTGGAAATTGAGAAGAAGGGCATATTTGGAAAAAAAATTAATGTTACATAAACTCTTGAAAATTGATTTATATTAAGATCACACAATTTTTTTAAGCAACAAATATATAATTAAGATCGAAGGAAGTATATACTGATAATTATCAAACAAAAATGAAAACACGTAGGAACTCACAAAAGATGATCGTATGGAAAATTCTTACCGTTTTTGCTGCCGTAGTAATTATCACAAATTTCACATCGGCATGTACCTGAACATCCAGCTTTTCTCTTCATGGAGTAAACAGAAAATTGTTAACAAGAATTAATTTTGAATTACTATTGAATTTTAAAATAATTTGTATCCAAGACCCAATCATGTCATTAACTAATTTGATAAACAAATCTTAATAAAATGCACAAGATAAAAAATAAATTAATTACCTTGTGACAAGGGCAATATCCATTTGAACAATTTGACTTTACGCAATGGCACCCTCTTCCATATTTTCCTTGAACAGCAATGTCCTCCTACAAAGAGGAAAATAATGAAATCATTGAGACAATTAATCGCAAAAAAGAGAGAGTAATCAATTTAATGAATAATAATTTATCTTTTTAAGCCCATGAATTGATAAAAAAAACTTACAAATGCCAATGGATTATGACATAAAATCCAATTCTCTCTCTCCATAATAATGTTATTTTCATATTTGGATATGTTAAAACAGCCTTGGCAATTGCAATTCTGACCACATAATTCTCCAGCAGCAAAACATCCACAATAACTACAGAGACAAACAAAACAAATTTGATTTATTATTAATAATAATATTATATATATATATATATATATGTATGTATGTATGTATGTATGTATATGTATCTCACATAAAGTAATGATAATTGATACCATAATTATTAATATAGGCATACAAAGGAGACTTACAGCTTCAGACATTGGCTCTTCTTACAATTGCACTTTTTGATGCTTGATGTCTTCCGCCTATAAAGACATACAAAACTGATTAAAAGCAGCTATAATGAAATGACCAATGAAGGAAATAATAAAATTAAAGAGGAGTCAAATTAATGACTTAATCCGTAATGATGATTCCTTTTTTAAAATAAAATTTATTAATTAATGTATCCTCCAAAATACTTTTTTTTCCTCAATTAAATGCATTTAAAAAATAATATTAAATGAAATGACACATATTTTACTTGTTTTTTTTTTCCGGAAATACATAAACTTCTCTTAAGCTGAACTAGAATGTTGAGAAATCCATTGAATTTGCTTTGATTCAAGAAATAAATCCTTCAATTATCCTTAAGAGAACAGGTAAAAGAAACAAACCTCTTATTTGGGGGTGTTGACAATTGAATGAACGGGTGAGAATGGCCAAAACTTTGATGTTGATGAATTGGAAATTGATAAGTTAATGAGGAATTCGCCATCATACTTGACATTTGGATATCTTTGCTGGCATGTGTGGCTGCAGAAATGAATTGATTTTCCACATTCGCCATCTCATGATTTGCAGAAAGTGAAACCCTGCACGTTTGATTAGGTGCTTCGCATAGAGATGATGTTATACTTACACCATTTTCAATGTCCAAGTTAGATTGAACTGAATTTCGATTCATCCAACCCTGCACATGAAACAAAAATCAATGATGATCACGATGATGATGCAAATAACACCATATGAACTCAAGATATAATATTATAATTGAGGCAACAGGAGCAAATATATATATAGTGATTAATTAATTACTTTGGCATCACAATCTTGATCTTCTTGAAAATTCTCCTGCAATATAAAACAAATTCCCCCAAAGTTGCTATCAGCAATATAATCATCAATACTTAGGGAAGCATTATTGTTTTCTAATTGTAAATTATCCATTCCAGTGTCTTTAGTAGCAGAATTTTCTGAAAATTCAGAATTCGAAACAATCTCTTGTGACGTGACGATAGTGTTCATCCCATCCTGCATAAAAAGAAAAATTTTAGTGCTCTCAGTAATATATTAACCTCTGATTTATATGCCAGCGGTGATATCAATATATATAGCGCGTTTTTCTCATAACATTGGGAAGTGAGAATAATAATAATAATAATAATATATTATCAATATTAAAGGGATGATATATTTTCGTTTCCCCCGAGCTGGTTCTTGAAAGTCGAACGTTTTAATTCTTTAAAGAATAAAAAATGAGCATTGTCTAATCAAATAATGAAATAAGTGGAAAAGGTTCTCAAGAATAATTGTGTGTGTGTGTGTGTAGAACTCACAATAAACTCCATCGAATATTTATTTCTTAATGAATAAATTAGATTTGATATTGATTAATTAGAAAGAGAGCTAGAGATTGTGGTAATTACCTTGGCGTGGAAATCTTGATTTTCTTGAGAAACCTCCAAAAATTCATCATGATTTGGAAAATTTCCATTGGAGAAATCTCTTTTTAAACGTTGAAAATTCATGACGAACGATGAAAGGACTCCATTCCAATGAAAAAACTTGAGTGTAACATTCAAACGGGTCCTGAAATTGAAGCAATAAAGATCGATGTTGGTATATAATAATCATTTTATTTATATTGCAAACCATAAATAAACGTACGAGAATCTAAAAATGTAAACTAAGACGTACCTTTGAAATATTGTTTTCTGGTTTTTCAGCATCCATGCTCACGCTTTATATGTATCTTCTGTGCGTAATGTTCTTGTATTATATATAAAACTATTACCAAGAACGGGAAAAAAAAAATATATCAGGCGATAACACCACTAAGTTGCTACTCGAGTTTAATAAATCACAAGAGTTTTTATTTATAGCAAGTGAAGTGGATAAAATAAAATAATATTTATTTATTTAATTATATATATATATATATATTGGCTAATGACAATGCTATTATCTGTTACAAAGATCTTGATATCTTAATTACTAATGACATTTTTTTTTGAGAAAATCATATCCAAAGACCTAAGAAGAAACTTGCAGACAAGTACCAATAACGAGTTCCATTTGAGAAAAAGTAAGTCTATGTTCTCACTTGAACAAAAAGATATGTATCTTAATTATTAATGAATAATTTTTTCAGGTTCTTAATGTGATTCTCCCTTTTTTGGGGGCCAACTAATTACTATTGACATAAATTTGTATTTCGCTTAAATTATTAATATATCAGTCTGTGTGGATATATGTGCGTGTCATTTCAATAATTTGTATTTTGATTAAATTAATATAAAAGTTATCAAAAAATTAATTATTTGATCCCTATAATTTTTTTGATACAAGTGTTCTCTATAATTTTATCTCAATTATAACTCAATCTTTAAATTTTAACTCATTTTAACTTAATCCTTATATTTCTAAGGATGCAAATTGAAGTTTTATTCCAGGATTATTTGTTGGGTTTATAAGTTAGTCCTCCCTTAATGGATAAAGTCATAGTCCAGGCCCAAGCCCACAGTGTTACGTGGGAGGCTTATTTGATTAATGAAATCAAGGCGCTGTGATTTTGGTTTTCGAATTCTGTCTACGGGTCATGGGAATATAAATCTTATGTCACGTGCAATTCCCTTACATATTAATTTAAAAATTGCATGTTAGATATTAATTCATAAATAAATAAATATATATATATACACACTATTCATAACTTATAAATATTATGGCTTGCTATAAATTTTATTTTTACATATCTAGATATTTCACATTATGTCTTCAGCACTACCACAGAAAATACCCATACTTGACGTTTATTTTTCACAATACTTGACGGTTTTTAACGGTCAAGTAAGGGTGCGACATATATTAAAAAAAAATACCTGACGGTTAAAAACCGTCAAGTATTAATCTTATACTTGACGATTCTTTGAAAAAAACTGTCAAGTATATGAAGTAAATATACACTTCCCAGAATAAATACTTGACGCTTGTTTTGAAACAAGCGTCAAGTATTTATGGCCAAAACTTGCCAGTTCTTTTGGCCATAAATATTTGACGCTTATTTCCTTATAACCGTCAAGTATTTACAAATACTTGATGCTTGTTTTGAAACAAGCATCAACTATATTGATACTTGACGGTTATTTTGAAATAACCGTCAAGTATTAATGACATAATTTTTTTAAATATGATGGCTGCTTTTAAAGCAGCCCCCTGCATAAAGATACAGATAAAGATAAAAAAATAGCCAGCCAGCAATGAAAATAATGCAATATAATGAATGTTTGTAATAGTATCTCCTATCTAATTAACATAAAAATTCCTATATATTTAACCTTAAAATCTAAACTTATTTGCAAACTAATGTTTCAAAATTAAGTGGCCTATCCTATAAAAATTGGCCCAAAAATGTGTATATAAATGTAACTAACTATTGTACCGGCCTAACTACTGTTGCAACCCACATATTGAAAACACATTGAGCCACCTCTTCAAGGACCTCTTCTACATGTGTAGTCGTATAACGAACGCAATAGACGTCCTCGAAGTATTGTAAGCAAATAGTTACAACAATTTCAAGTTAATAGGTAGCTAATTAAAATTGTTTAAAATTTATAATTGAAGTGTAATTAAATTTTATATATATACCTTGTTAGATAATGTGGTAGGGGCATAAGTGATAATGTCCTTCATGAATTTTATCAAGCAATAACCACAATCATTGCTCTGATCTGGCTGGAATGGACACTATAAAAAAACACATATCAATGAAATTGTAAAATATAATGAGACAATTTCTTGATTAAAAATTTGACTAATTAAACGAATACCTTAACAGTGACCCTTTTCTCTGAAGATTTGAATGCCCTCATCTTAGGGGACACAGTCATGTCGGTTGCAGTGCGATACAATACCACAGCTCTAAGAAGGAATTATGGAATGAATGTGAGAAATATATATGAATGAAAACTAAAATTAAAAAGAAATAACAAGTAAAAAAATTCAACTTACTCATTAAAAAGTACCACTATATCTTCCCTGTTGCTTGGCTCTCCATTAAGGGGATCGAGATATCATATTTTTAGAGCAACGGGATTAACCATAATAAGCATCCAGTGTCCCCTAACAAGAAACAGCACATGTTACCAAACAAATAAATATAAAAAAAATATTTACTCGTAACAAATATTAACAACTCACCCTTGGCAGTAAGGAGCAAGAAATAAAGTATCCTTCGCTGCTCCCCTTTCTCGAAATTGATTCGAAAGCATTCTTGCTTGATTTTCAAGGGCTTCCTTTGTAATATTATTGTGGGGAGAGACATCATGAGGATTAACCAGCTTGATCTTTGACTCAAGGCCACTAGGAACCACGAATGAGGTATAAAGGTGACTTGGGTGAAAAAATATACAAGTTAATATGCTTGCATACTCACACACATAAATAATTCAAGAAATTAACTAATAAATGTTGAAGAATTACCTCATGTAGAAAGTCATCAAACTAATGCTCACCATATCGTGCTTGAGGATTTCATTCAAAATTTCATCCCGAACGACTTCAAATGATGCTATACCAAATAGTCCATTGTCAAAATTAATGATATCCCCCATCGGCTTTTGATGAATCATCCTCGTAGCTGAAGCATAGGTCTCAAGAGAGTCACGGAATTTATTTTCTACAACAGGCATAGGCACTGCATGTTGTGAAACCGTGACTGACTCTTTAGTATGGCCCGACACCTTACCCTTCAATTTGCTTTTCCCCTTGGCTATACAATGAAAAAGTTAGACATATATATATATATATATATTAAAGATTTTAAATAATTATATAAATCATATATACCTTTTTTTTGGTGGTAAGGGGTCCTTTGTCGGCTTTGGTGTACCAACCATAACAAGGTGACTGGGCCATACAACGAAGCTCCCCAACGCATCTCCTACCGTCTGCATCTCATCAGTAGGATAAGGTAATGGATACTTAGGGTCGATTA